GAAGTGGGATCGTTGGGTCCAGTGTACGCTGGACCATTTGTGAAAGCACGGCTGGTATTTCCTGTAGGTCTTCCCCTGTTCTCCTCCTTGTGTTTCACTCCATTCCTCTGTCCCCAGTTTTCCCCCATTTGGCCCCCCAAGCCAGTTGCCCCTGGATTGTTGGATATTTTGTTGGATTTCTTTTGCGGAGTGAACGGTAGAGATTCGGGTTTTCACTACTTCCCATTGTGAGGTGATGTCAGCTTGTACCTGTTGCTTGTAGTGTCTGTGAATTCTGGTCCATCCAACCGCATATTTTCGTTGTCATGTGTATAGCGTCTCCACCACAGGGCCCATATAACTGCTGGCCGTCCTTCGGGATTTTATTTATTTTTAAACGAAAAAAAATAATCGTTGGGAGATGAGTTCGAAATGAAATTGTGGTGTGAAAAATGTATCGGTATGATGTGCATTATCGATCTCCGGTGGATGTGATGTTTTGTGTGGAAGAACAAATGAATAAATTATGATGTGATGTTGTCACATTGTGGGGGTGGTACTTAAACGACCACGAAAGACTTGACGAGCTCCCAACTCGGAAGAGGTGGAGTTGTGTTTTGTGTTATAGCAGGTGTTTCGTTTTTCATTAGCACCGTCAATGATGAACGCAACAGACAACATCTCTCTCTCTCTCTCTCTCTCTCTCTCTCTCTCTCTCTCTCTCTCTCTCTCTCTCTCTCTCTCTCTCTCTCTCTCTCTCTCTCTCTCTCTCTCTCTCTCTCTCTCTCTCTCTCGCCCCCCAAATGGCCTTGCCTCTCTCTCTCTCCTCAAAGCAAAGAAGAATACCAATAACGTTAGTGTCTCCGTTGTTAATGAAGCATGTGAGAGGTCATGTCAAATGAATCATATAGTACAATAATCATTGCCCTGCTAAGAAGACAATACATAAGATGTGTAAACGTTGGTTAGTATTTGACAGGAGCTCACGTTGTCCAGAGGTGTAGTGAGTTGGTCTTCATGTGCATCCCTAATAACAATCATGACAAACAATGGTCAGAAAATAGGTGGAGTAGATGTGCGTGAAGGAGATGTGGTCGGGTTTCTACATGGTAGAGATGCCGACAACAAAACAGCCATGTGGGCTGCATCAGCCTGCATGTAGGGCAGAGATTGAAAAGCAACAATGACACATCCTTCATGGGTAGAGTTCGAAGAAGAGCTGTTACGCTTAAACTCGAACTTGCTGACAAAGCGGCTCAACCCCTGAGCAAACTCCGAATCACACCATCTTGCCCCACTGAACTGAGACTTATAGGCTCACACACACACACACACACACACACAGAGAGAGAGAGAGAGAGAGAGAGAGAGAGAGAGGCGTGGTTTGCTTTTGTTTGTTAAACCCAGAAAAATAAAAAGCAAAGTGTAAAGAGAAATCCCCAAATGCGAAGAATTACATATTTTCTCACATCTGAAAGAGAATACTTCTTATGCACCAACAAAAGTAATCTAGTTAGGCCATACTCACACAGCAGTGGCATACCAGCAAAATCTACAAATTTTACTATCCCAAAAAAAAAAAAAAAAAAAAAAGGTTGAAATCCACCTCGTCCGGTCACGTAGCGGCAGCAAATCACAAAAGACCCAAGCCGGATTTTCTGGCAATTGCCAAAATGGTGCCTCGAGTGGTCACACAGCATGAGGCTCAAATCCTTCAACTTTTTGTTTTTAACAAAGTTCATTTTGAATTTCCTTTCCCGAACTCTCGAACTGAAAAAAAAAAATTGCTACCACTTCCAGAGGTGGTAGCTAAATGCCCTTCCCCGCGGCCCGGCAGGCCGCTGACATTTGATACCCCGTTTGCTGCTTTTGCACTTCACTGCCTCGTAGTACGACTGATCCAACCATCAAATTTTAGCTATTTTGTCATAAAAGGCCCCACTGCCGCCCTAGTTTGCAGCCCGTCAGGGTTGTATCTTATGCCCTTGAGACCTTCAACGTCAATTCAACTTTCAACGTCGGTGGTCGTTCGGGAGGGTGGGCAATTTTGAGGTGAGGGCTTAGCAAGGGGGGGGGCACGCGAAGTACCCGTAGCTGCCCATAGGAGGCTGAGGAGATCGCGGTCCTTGAGTTGGACATTTCAAAATCGAAACGACATGGGAGGCCGAGGAGGCCGCAATCCTTGAGCTTTGAACATTTCGAAATTGAAACGATGTGGGTCCACTTTTCTCGAATAGAAGAGCACTGCAAATAGAACATGTGCGCTTTGTACCGAACACAACGTGTGCCCTTTCTATTCAAATTTCAAAAAAAAACTCTTGTATTCCAATAGAAAATTACCTTCTTTTTATTTTTTGGAGGTGAGCGCCTGCCCTTGTGCTCCCCGCGACTGACATGCTGCGTGCCGCAAGGCTTTCTCTCTCTCTCACACACACACAGACACAAAAGTGACCACACTCACACACTCACGAACGGCACTCGGGACTGTGTGTGTGCATGTGCAGCAGTCCCAGACCAAATTTTGGCCGGTACACGCACGGTCCGATTGCCTGTTGATCGTTTTAGAGACGATAGCACGGTCCCGATTGCCTGTTGATCGTTTTTAGAGACGATAGTTGGGCCTGTACCGAACCTTTAATCCATTTCCCTGCGACAAAACCTTTGTATCCATTTCCCCCCGAACTGGGAAAAAGGTGCGGCAGGGCCCAAAATCACGTTCGGCGTCATTTTTGCACCCTGCAAAACACTTTCCCCGCATTTTTACACAGCGGCCGTTACCGGCCCAGCCCGGGACAAGGTCCCACTTGCACGGACTACGAGAATCTGGCCGTTGATCTTTGCGATCTACGGTCAATATCGCTTAATTCGTATAAGTGGGACCTAGCCCCAGGGTGCAAAAATGACACCAAAAGTGATTGTGGGACCCGCGCCACTTTTTTCCCCATTTTGGGGGAAACGGATACACCAAAAGTGATTTTGGGACCCGCGCCACTTTTTACCCCATTTGGGGGAAACGGATACAAAGGTTTCATCGCGGGGAAGTCTTTCGACTTTTCCCAAATCTTACTGGGCCGGTAGGCCGGGTAGTGCCATGCCCAGCACTCCCTCCCTACGGGTGCCGGTAGGCCAATTATTGGCCGATACAATACACGGACGGTCCCGATTGCGTGTTGATCGTTTTGGAGACGATAGCTGGGCCGGTAGCGAAATCGCACTGGTTCAAAAAAAAAAAAAAAAAAAAGAAATCGCACTGGGGCGGTAGGGGCGGTAGGCGCGGTAGTGCTGCTTGGCGCGGGCACTTCCCAGGCCAAATTTTCGCCGGTAACTTCGTTTGGGAGCCGGCGCGGGCAAATCTACCCTCTGTGGTCGACTTCGATACGTCTGCTATACCTGGCTTCGTTACTGTGCTACGCTACTATATTAATTATGGTCGACTTCGACTGGACACACCAACTTGTCTTCGACGCTCAAGGAACACACACACACCTGCAAGCACACACACACACACACACACACACACACACGCGCACGCACACATACAGACACACACACACACACAC